TGAGGAAATACATTAATCCAACAATATCGGACATGGCGCTCGTAAAGAGACCCGCTCGCAGTTTACTACAATTTCTGATTCCACTGTGGAAAAAAATGAAAATGACTAATCTTTGATTAACCACCAGTTTACAATTGTTAAAAAAAATTGAAGGCTCAATAAAACAGAAATGTAAAATTGCATTCGAAACATAGAACATGACGCACGTCTTCGTTGCTGCACACACCCTCACCGTGCTGCTGCTCTTGCTGTTCTAGTCTTGCGGCTCCTGGGCACCATAGGCGTCGCGCTGCTGGCGCTGTCGTACGCCGTCTACCTCACCAACCCCATAGAGATCGTCATCAATATGGTAAGTACAAGGTGCCTTGCCGAACTATACGAACTGTTAGAAAAAAATTCTGGGATTTCACGGAGGAAGACTCGTGAAAAATATTGCCAAAGTCCTTTGGGATTTCCCAAAGGACTCCGTAGATTTCACGTGTCGAGTTCAGCTTCGAAACACACAGAAGAGTAACAACTCGCTACCTCCAAAAACAAAAAATTACAACATTATAACTAAAAACGGAGTCCTCTGGGAATTCCTGGCAGTGGTTGAGAGTGAATCTTCGGGAAATCCCCAGAAATTTCGTGACACTCAGGGGGTTGGAAATACAAATTAATTTAAATATTATATAGAGCCAGGATCAGACGGCCATTATTGGAGTCCATGGTGACCCCATGGACCCCATGATATTTTTGTACCCCGGTCGTACCAATCTCCCGGGGATTCCACGTGGTGTGGTAAACGACCCCTGTAGCCACGCCACCCCGCGTGGTTTTATGGACAGGATCCAGCTGGCCGCGAGCGCACCGCGCCGCGCGTGCGACGGTGTAGCGTGCGCGGATGAATCTGTGCGAAAAAGTTTTCCGCGATACTCTTCCGATAGGAAATGAGGCAGGCGCCAACGTTTAAAGAAGCGAATGAAATAGGTAATTAATGCGTCCGCAGCAGGCTGCTTACTCGGGCAGCGAGGAGGGAGGGGTGGGGTCGTGTGGAGGACGAGGCAGAGGGCTCTCTGAAATAAGGCGAAGGCGACAACAAATGCGGAGCCTTCGTGCGTCGCACTGCATCCGCGGACAACGTCCGGTAACGTCCCTCTGCACCAGCCGTGCACGACCTATCGCTGCCTTCAAATCGCTGGGGCGCGCACTGTGAAAAATATATTTTTAAATTTACATAGCATATTTTGTATTTACGCTGTATACAGAACATGTTTTGTAACTTTACGACAGACCATTCTTGCTCGTCAATGAATTCCAAGTCGATGAAATAGCGCGTCTAATTTTACAATGTAACGTTGTAATTTTATTACACGCATCATGGATAATTTTCCTGTAGCCTTTACAGCTTTTCTAGAAAATGTCATAACTTACTAACAAATTTCGTAAAGAAATTCTATTTATGCGATTCGTAATTTTATGACTTTTTTCGTTGCCTTATGTAAGATGTTGTATTCTTACAACAAAGAATCATAAAAGAAATTACAAAATTTGTTGTAAATTTACTTCTTATAATTCGTAACTTTACAAATCATTATCGTAATCATAATTTATCAATTTTCTCGTAAATTTAAGAACATTTTTCTCGCAGTGTACTCCAAAAGAGACCACTACCCATCGACCCATATGACCCTGCTGCGCAGTAGTTCTTGTTCAAAGTAGATTTAAAAGGATAATGTCTCCCAGGAGCTCATATTCTCGGATCGTGTCTCAGAGCATTTTGTGTACCACGAATCTGTCACATAATCTCTATGAGCAGTACTCTCTCTCTCTCGCTTCGTGTTCCAGTCGCTTGTGACTTTTCCCACAGAAAGCAATCTGCCCCCCGGAAGGTGCATGGAGCTTTTTGGTCTATCATGTTTGTCGTTTTTGTCCCTTCGTGCATGATGGACCTTTTAATTTTGCATATGTCGTGTGTGTAGGGGGGGGGGGAGAGAATGTGCGTGCAATGCCCGACCGGTTATGCTGAGTATTGTCGGCTCGACGCGTGTGGTGCAGTGGGCCGATGGGGATAAACACTCCAGAGAGCGACGGATTTATAGGAAGGGGAAAAAAAGGTGTGAGAGCGAAAAGATGTAAATGGCGCACCATCACGGTGTGCGTGAGTGTGTTGCTTCTAAATGGTGTGCAAAATGTTTCGGAAACGGGCGCTCATATTCCGTTTTGTTTGTTTGTTGTATCGCACCTGCGAATCACGTGTGGATGGAGTTTATGGACCGTACGTTTCGTCAACTTATATGTGCGTGAAGTGAAGACACGCTTGAGGTATGAGGAGGGAGAGAGTGAAAGAGAGCTTCTTAGTATTTCAGAGTAATATGCTGTATACAGGCGTTGAAGTTTGTTTCACCAAACTATTTCAATGCAATCGAGTTTGTAGGCGCCCAATGATAATTGTACCCCTGGTGTACAAAAATACCTAGGAGTACAACTATCATGGGTGTCTATGAATTCCAACGGTGATCTTGAACCCAATGGAAGGCCACGGTATTTGTACCTGACGGGGGGCGCGCGTGGCCCAGTCCTAGGTTCAAGCACCCCCCGCCGTTTCCGTGTCCAGGACGGGCACATCTCACGAGCGGCGCTCCCCGCGCTCTCCGTGGACAACGATCGGATAACAAGAGAAGAGCTTGCCGGAAACGCGTGGCGGGGAGCGTCGCGCCGGGAGAGTGGAGTGACCCGCGTGAGCCGCCGCCACCGCACACGATTCCTTTCTCTCTCTCTCTCTCTCTCTC